TTACTCAGCAGAAGAACATGTTGCTTGCGACGTTCCTGTGCAAATGTGGAAGCTCTGGAACTATGCCTTCCTCCGATATGTCTTCAAACTTGATGAACTGAGCAACTTGAGCCGCTGCGAGATGAGCGTATCGCACTGGAGCCACTGAAGCACAAAACACGATTGAATATCGGACTGTGAGATTTCTGTTTAGTAAAGATGAAAGAAGAAGAGTTTGATTAGGAAAGTGTTACCAATTGAGGTAGCGGTTGTGCTCCGTTGGTTGCTGGACCATAATGATTCAAGAAAGTAAGATGTTAGTAATAATAGTTAAATGGAATTGGTTTTTGTAAGTGAAAGGCGGATTGAGGAAGTAGAGAGACTTACACATAGGAGAGTGAATGGATGAGATTCTGCATGTCATCGGGAGAGAAACCAATCTCATCGAGTAGAACATGATAATGAGCCGGTCGTGAAGTTCCCTGAGAGAGGGAAACATAATGTAGAGTTGAAAGCTGTGAGGAGTGAAACTTTTGAGGCTAAAGTGGCATAACATATTTTTGTGTCTAAACTTACTATTATTCCTGCATGAGCACACATGTAAAAATCGTAGTTTGTTGGGTGTACAATCTTGGTGTCCACGACAGTTCCTGAAAAACGGGGATATATTTATGATGAAAACAGTTTTGGAGAAAAACTTGAATCTTAGTGTGACAGATGCAGAGTAAAGAGTATTTTTTACCTGCAGGAACATTCTCTGTACCCTTATTAGCTTGAAACAGTTTGGTGTGATGATTCTTCTGAGCCACAATGACAGTGAATTTTGGTACATCGGTTTCACCAAGATGTTGATACGCCTGCGCAGTGTAAAATAAGCAAACTGTTCAATATAATACTTTCACTCGAAATTTGAATTCATATATTGAAAACAGAATTTGATAGAAGCTGGAACCAGCCAAGGGAATTAACAAGACCTTTATAATTTGGTCCACCTCAATGTTCAAGACTTGGTTGAACTGTGATTCACTTACTCCATCCCTAACAAATACCAAGGAATGTGTACTTGTAGATATTGGGGATTTAGACAACAAAGATAAAACAATACAGTTTTTGCTATTACCTGAAGATGATAATCTGCTTAGGCTTCCGTGACCTGCTTGTCACGAAGAACTCTACAAATAGTTCGCTGTTGGAAACAGAAAATTAATCATGAAGAGAAGACACTTAAGCATCTTTCATACAATAAATTCATGACTTCTAGACATTTATTAAAAAATCAAGCTTTAGTGTTCACATACTTCATGATACCGTTATCTCCTTTCTCAGTGTTCTCTACAGGTTGGAAGAGCGAATCAATCATCTCCAGTTTTGGTGACTGAGTTCTTACAGCTGCCCGATACCTTGAGACTAAGGGCCAGCATGTTGAACCAACAACCTTGTAGCAGAGGTCAAGAAACGAAAAGTAAACAGACAAAGATTAGATCTTAATAGAACCAGAAACAAAGGACAGGGAAAGTAAAAACACAACAATACCGCTGCTACTGAAGGAACATCCGCACGACCTGGAGACCCATGAGATACATCCATACCCAATATTAAGGTGGGAATTTTGTTTATCAATGGAATGTTGGAAGAGTACTCTATTCCCAGCAGAGAATTGATGCCTCCAAGCTAAGATTAAGGGAGAAGAAAAGAAGTCAATTTACGGAGCACACTACAGCATAATATCTCTCAAGTGTTAGCTTGGTTGGTGATATACCTTAGAGTTTATCTTCAGAAGCACATTGGTGAGATACTGTTTACTCATCTTCATAGGGCAGATGCATTGCGTGTTGATCCCTTCTTCAGTAAGACATATTTTCTTCCAAGGACCTTTATAGTTTGCAAAGAGTTGAATGAGGGAGTTGAAACTTAAAACTTACACAGAGAAAGGTAAAATGTTACCATAGATATCAGAATTCTTCCGTTCTGGCAGGACACAGAGGATGAAATAAGGAGGCTCTGGAAATTTTAACTTCATCTTTGCAATCATTCTTTCTACCCTCTCAACAGGACCCCATTTTTTATACTGGGGATCCTCTTCAACTAGTGCAAAAGGTCGATCAATTTCCTAAATGATTAAAAAACCAAAAGAAGACTCTGTAAATAACCAACATAGTTCAACACTACACAACACCATTTGAAAATGGAGACAGTATCAGCGGAACCTACAATGCCTTTACTCATGCCACAGCTTATGAGCTCACGGGAAATGTGACTACTGTCGCATGGAAAAGAAAAGTTGACGATAGCCCAGCTCTTAATTACACTTGGTTTTAGAAGCATCTGCAAAGCAAGAAACAAGGGGTCCAATAGAAAAGCGAAAGGGACTAGTTTGGTAATATAACAGGTTCGGTAAAAATCCTAGAAAGAGTAAGAATCCACTGCCAATCCACAGGAATGAATTTAGTGATGAGCAGAAATCTTTGCAGACAATTACCTTGTTGTTAAAGTTCCACCGTCCGTTGCAAGGTAAAAAATCCTCATTCTTGCCAAATTTCAGCTGTATATTACATGTGGAACAATATTGGTGTAAAAAAGATTAAAGACTTTACTAGAATGTGCATGACAGCTCATGTCTTTCTATGTGCAAATAAATCATAAATAGCTTTACCATTGGGGGATTGAGAACTCGGCCTTCCACTCGAGTCATTTGTTTTTCAATGGAGATGCCACATCCAGCCAGAAACGGGTCCTCATCATAGCAGTAGGTACCCATTGCCTGCAAATTCTAGTCAGTAACAATAATATGACATCGGAGATAGATAAAAACATCATCTGAGGTAAAAAAATGAAGCTCACATCATTGAGTGTTTTAATTCTTTCTAGAGGTTTTTGTCTTGATTTTTCAACAAGTAAAGCTCTTTGCTTCCCTGACAATGCTTTTGTATAACGTTGCAGAGATACAAGATTACAAAACTGCAAGAAAAAGTATAGAAATAAAAAATTTATAAGAAAAACAGAAGATAGAAGACTAAACAAAATTAACTTCGGAAAAACTGTTGGAGGTGCATACCTCCAGTGGAAGGTAGTTGGGGCGATTTGGCTTGCCAACATCAAGACATGGCAAGTATGCAGAATAAGTAGGTTCTGTGTAAGTTTGCTTGAAATAGTCAAACACAGTAATCTCTTTAGTCTGTCCTTCACGATCACCATTCTTAATTTTCATTGAAAACCTACAAAAGGATGAATAGGATCAAGTAAAGGTTGATAAACAGGAGAAAAATTAGTACTGGCAGCACACTCATAGGGAACATACGATTGCTGATTGCATGGCTTCTCACTTAGACCGATAATCTTGAATTCCATGTTGCGATGTGATGCCTTTACCCTCATATTTTTAAGCATTTTCCTAGCCTGTCATGGTTCAATGAGAAATGTAAAGGAAAACAAAAGCAATCTGGCATGTTTTTGGTTATTGAATTTGAAAGCTATAATTACCTTAATCCAGTCAATTTTTCTTGGTAACTCTACATTCTGATTGGCTAACAGGAATTCAATAACCGGACCTGGCTTTAAGATCATAGTTGTTGACACATCTGCAAACCATTGGATAACGAGAACACTTTTGAGACTTGATAAAAGTCAACAAGAAAGAAAAGGTTTATGACATCTGGAGATGACAAAGGTCAGAAGAAAAATACCAATGTTAAGTGAGAGTCCTCCATGGGTTGGACGAAAGCTGGAGTGGAAACCTCGAATACCTATTACGCCTCCCCCAACATCAACAGAGTTCCTATCATTATGGAAAAATGCATGTTTGACCAAAAGGCAGCCCCTGCACAATCAACCGTTCTATAGTAAGCAGCTATCATGGTCACAAAATGCAAATAACTGTACATCTATTGGATTTTGCCAACACAATGAAAATATGTGACAAACTTTGTCCATTAGAATGTAGAAAGTAATTTTTTCAATGAAAACATATGCTGCAGATGAGCAAACAGTTAGACCAATGCACCTTTCAGCTGCTTGCTGCCTCAGTACAATATCAAGCACTCTAAGCGCATCCTGAGTGCTCTTATCCGGTGTATCAATTCCTCTCTGACTGACAAGAACAGTCTTTAATGGTATTTTTGCAGCAAAATGCATCTGAACTTTGTAACTTCTTGGCAGGAAAGAGCGCTTTGATCTCTTGCAAGAACCAGAAGGACTACCACCATCAGAGACACCACAGTCACTACAATATTAACAAGACTGCTTCAGCAAAAAACATCTACAAGGTCTAACTTGTACACTTTGAGAAGATTAAATATCAATCCAGACAAGAGGGGCATACCGTTTTGAAAATGAATCTTCCAAAATGACATGAAAGTCAAAGTCGTTTTGTGGCAGAGGACCAACAGTATACAAGGTCTTCTCTCCATCATAGGCTAACCTTTTACCGGCAAGATCAGAAGAGTATGTCTTGTACAGTTGGTCAATAAGCTTTCTGCCTATTCCTTTCCCATCGACATTTTCACCATCTTCAGTGGTGATACTAACCTGCAAAGAAACCACAGATTGGCTAAGTGTCTCATACACACACAGACACTGAAAAACAGAAACCAGAAAAGTGACAAAACAATCTTACAGTGTACTGGTGAAATACTACATCTGGCTGTCTCACAGAAACATTATAGTGATTGGTGCACAATTCTATCCGGTTGCCCATGTTTCCAACCCCACGTCTAGTTGTGATGGCATAATCTCGATGGCTGGTCTGCTCTGGTTTCATAGCTAAGGCTGGTAAAGGTTTCTCCATCCTTTCAGACAGAATAATCTCTGGAAGATAGAATGGCAAAAATCAGCCAAAACATAATTTTCAGAGGGGACTCAGAAAGACAAAACACCAAATAAACAAGTGAAAATTCACTGATCATTACATATCACAGCGGACAACATGCTGGAATGTTACAAAGCATCCATAGAACATCGATTCTTATAATCAGGTAAATCCAAGATAAGAGAAAACAATAAACCATCAAACAGATCAGAGACAAGTCATTGTCCTTGTAATTTCAAAGGATACACAGTAGTGTCATTAAGCCTATGCCAGAAGCTGCGACCAAAGATACTAGAACCATACTATACAAAATTGGAAAAATCACTCAACAGAAGTAGTCACCAATGCAAAATTATAGCATCTATAAACCTGCATTCCCCAATCTCCGAAGATTTATATTCCTTTTAAGGTCAGAAGCGATACTACATTTAGAACACTACACAAACATCGTTCGAGTGAGGAAAACAGTAGCATAACACGATTTACAAGAGGAAAACAGTGTAGCCAAAACCATACAACAATCAACAGATAAATCCAAGCTTCATGCAAAATCCCCAAAGGAAAACTCGGAAAGAGAAAAATCGAGGAGAAACTAAAACCTAGGTCTGATACAACAACAATAACAACAGCGAGCGAGGTTTTCCCGAAGGAAATCGCACTGGAAAACGAAGGAAATCGGAAAATCTCTCCGATACAACGGAATCAATCAGCGACGCGAACAGTACTAGAAACAATCGAAGACGAAGAATAAGAAAACCTGAAAAATCGGGTACCGTCAAAGAAGTGAGAGAGCGATTTCTAGGGTTCCGGTGAGACAAGAAGCAATTGCTATAGAATGAGGGTTTAGCTCATTTCTCTTGGTCGTCAGTCTCACTGGGTTTTCCTGGAAAAGCAAAAGAATGGAGGGAACGTTTCGCGTGATGGGAAAATTAAAATATCCCCATTTTTGGTAAATTTTATATGTAGATAATAATATTGTATTTTTAATGTTTATCAATGTCACATGTCAAGGCAAAAAAATCTGATTCGTATACATTTTTAACATTTTCCAAGGGTTTAATCTGATATTTTCTTTTCATAAACATACTATATTTAAACACATATAAAAGTATCCGTTAACTAATAAAGAACCAAAATACCAATAACATAAAAAACGGATTTCTTTAAACCTGTATTCCTAACAAATAAATTTGTACTTTTTTTTTTCTAAGACAGTGTACGAAGATGAACTCCGAAAATGATATTCATAGATCCGTAAACTCATCGATTTTTGGTTTAAATCTAGGCCATAAAAATCAATTTATTTGAATCTATGACAAACAACAAATAATAGCGCTTCTTCCACATACATAAAAGATCTCTAGTACCGTCTTAGAATTGTAGGATTTATTATATTTCATTCGTGGATTTACCATCATTCTGAAAAACTATCAAATGAACTATA